AGGTCATCAAACTGAGATATGGCACTGTTGCTCATATTCTGTATATCTTCTTGTCGCTTGTTACAAACATTCTCTCTTGTGCTTCGATGATTCTCGGTGCTTCTAATGTATTCATGGCACTGTGTGGTTTACATCCAGTTGCTGCGAACTTGTTGATCCCATTCGGTGTCCTGTGTTATACTGTGGTTGGTGGGCTGAAGTCTACTTTTCTGACTGATTATCTCCATACTTTTATCGCATTGATCATTCTAATGTACATTGGAACTGTTGGAATCACAAATGATAAAGTTGGAAGCTTATCAGAGCTCTATAACATGGTTGTGGAATATCAGGAAACATCGGGCTTGTACATTAAGGGCAACTACCAAGGCTCTCTGCTGACGATGAAATCTCAAGGATCGTGGTACTTTGGCTTGATCCATAACATTGGTGATACTGGACTATCCGTCATGGATTCGAGTTTCTGGCAAAAGGCATACAGTGCTGATGTTACAGCTGCAGTGCCAGGTTACATCATTGGCTCTCTAGGAGTTTATTGTATGAGTTTCCCGATTGGAACCATTTGGGGTTTGTTGAACAGAGTGTTTGAGAATACTCCTGAGTTTCCACTCTATCCAAATGGAATGACTGCAGATGACATCAACAATGCCTATGGTATTTTTTACACAATGGATGCATTGCTTGGACGGAGTGCCGTTGGTGCAGGTCTATTGGTCATCTTCCTCGCTGTGACATCAACAGTGAGTGCACAGACTATTAGTGTTTCTTCTATTCTCTCGTTTGATGTCTACAGAGCATACATCAACCCTGATGCTGGTAACAAGGAGTTGATTCGTGTATCTCACGCCGGTGTTGTTTTCTTTGGCTTCTTCGCTGCTGGTTTCAGTATCATGTTACATTACGTTGGTGCCTCTTTAACGTGGGTTGGGTATTTCTACTCAATGTTGATCTGTCCTGGTGTTATCCCACTCATCTGTTCCATCACATGGTCTAGACAGAGTAAAGCAGCTGTCCTTATCAGTCCAATTATTGGTATCTTTGCAGGTTTGGGGATCTGGTTGGGTGTTGCTAAGTCGATGTATGGTGCAGTTAACGTCAACACCACCATGGAACAATTACCATGTCTATACGGTGGACTCACTGCGCTTTTCCTTCCAGGAGTTCTCACTTTCCTCATCACCATTGTAAAACCAGAAAGATTCGATTGGAACGTGCTTCAGAAAGCAAGACTGGTGGATGATGAACCAGAAACTAATGACAGTTCTGACTTGAACTCCTCCATTCCAGAGCCTATTGAGCATCAAGCGTCCATAAAGGAGAAAGATAACACCACAGATACTGTTGAACATCAGCCAGAGAGAGAAATCTATAGAAATGGGTTGACCAAAGAAGAATACAATAAGAAGGCCGATAAGTATATCAAATGGGCATGGATTTATGCAATTGTCAATATTCTCGTGACACAAGTCCTTTGGCCCCTGCCTCTATATAGAGACTATATTTTTAACAAGCCATTCTTCGAAGGTTGGGTTACATTTGCACTCATGACGACATATATGACTTTCATTGCTTGTGGACTGTTCCCTCTATGGGATGGAAGACATACCTTGTTAACAGTGGTTCGTGGTATATGGAAGGACCTGAAAGAGGGAAATTGGAAAGTAAAACGTAGAGAGAAGGTTCAATGATATGAATGTTTTTTTTGTTTTAAGTATTGTACAATAAGTTCTCTTAATTAGATCTCTTCGAGTTCATCCAGTTGATGAAGTCAAAGAAAATGGAGCTTGTCAGTCTTGCGTTTTTCTTCTTCCACCAATGCTTCATCAACGTCGCATATAGATCTATGATTGAGTCCATGGAATCTTGATCAATGGCGATGATCTGTTTAGCGATGAAGATAGAACATTGTGAAGAGCTGAGATTGAAATCGTTCGTATTAGAAGTTCTCAGTGCATCTCCGTGGATAGATTTAAGCAACTCAAGCAACTGTTCCTTATCTTCCTCTTGAACATTTGGTTTGCTTTTGCAGATTCTGTTCTTCAACAACTTATGAATCTTCACACCAAGGGACTTATCCATTGTTAGCTTGAGGGCCTTCAATAATGGAGAGACTGTGTCCACAATGAGTTCACTGCTTGGGTTATTCTTCACAAAGATATCAATGAGGTCAACAACACGGTGTTTGAATAGTACAATACTCTCCTTGGCATCAACCTTCTCCTGCTTACGTTTGTTACCAGTTTGGACTTGGTTCAATGCGTCACGACGTTGTTGGAAGATCTTGGATAGCTGGCCATCAATCTCCATCATTTGTTCATCATCCATAGATTCATCTGAAAAATCATCTTCTTCACCATCTGATGAGAGAATCACTTCACCGTTATGTGGGATTCTCAATGCTTCCGCTAAGGCCTCATTAGTCTTCTTTTCAACCTCAGCAACTTTTTCGTTTGAAGTCTCATCTTCAGATTCGGATTCTGGTTCAGATTCAGATTCGGATTCGGATTCGGATTCGGATTCGGATTCGGATTCGGATTCCTCTTCATGCTCGTCTTCATGGTCGTGACTTTCGTCTTCCTCGTTCTCATCAACAAACTCATCCTCACCTTCAAACAGTGCTTTTTGGCCCTCTTTATTCTCTTTTGTAACCAAAACATCAAACAACAATTGTAAACCATCCAAGTTAACCTTATCACACCAGTTTCCCCAAATTATCAGACTGAGCTTCTTCAAGAGGGAACTCTTTTGACTTAAGAAGTTCATCAATATTTCCACGATACCAAGTGTACTATCCTGCTGGTCTTCATCTTCATCATTATTGTTTTTCAATTTGTAATAATAATCCTGCAATTCTTGTAAAGTGCTAACAGAATCAGCATCACCAGAGTATAACTGTAAAATGACCATAGAGAATAGTAATTCAAAAACCAACAACTTTGAAGTATCACTGTGATCACATTCTCTTTTGCTTCTGATCTTTTTCAGAATTTTCAAAGACTTCAATCTAACGGTTTCCAACTCTTCGTCGAATTGTAACAACGGAGTATAACCTTTGTCGACCAACTCCAACAACGAGCTCAAAGTCTTAAAAGACCATGTTTGATTATCTGTACGCTGGATGGATATGACGTCTGATAAGATAGAGTTCAATCTCTCTTGCGTAAATTCAACAATTGGATCTTCTTCACCTTCTCTCACTTCGGCTACTTTGAAATAAGCCCTTTGGATCAAAGTTTGTAAGATACGATCAATCCATTCAACGTCTGGGTTCTTCTCCAATTGCGTCTTCTTTGAACGAACCAAGTGTAACAGTTGATCAATGGCCCATTTCTTTTCCTTTACATCATCCCTGGTATTCAAAACGTTGATGAATATATCTGCCAGTTTATCGTTATCCAAAGTTGAGCCAATTAAGGATTCCACAGTTTTAGACTTTGTTAATCTATCAAAGTTCAAATTGCCAAATGGACCAACGATCAAGCTATCCAGAGTTGGTATTGTCTTTCCAGTCTGAGATTGACAAACCTGTGTTATCAAGTTCAATGTTTTCTTAGCAATCTTATTCAACATTCTATTTGAATCTGATGAGTGGTTTATCAATGTTCTCATGAAATTTTGAGTAAAGAGACAACTAGTTGATTCCGTTGTGGTGCTTTTGAACAACAGTTCAAACACTTCGAAACCCCAATATTTTCTCTCATTCGAAGACTTTTCTGAGAAGAACCCTTCATCGATGATAATTTTCCAAAACTCTTGCACTTGAATACGATCCGGACGAGAAGACTTGACCCTCTTAGACTTTTGAGACTTTTTATCGTGTTTTTGTCTCTTCTTAGAATCTTTAACCTGTTCTTCAACCGTTTCTTCATCTTGATCTTCTGTCGGGGATGAAGTCAGTTCATTAACGATCAATTGCCAAACAAAGTGTAATCTTGGAGACCAGGAGCCCTTTTTCTTCTTATTTTTGTTATCTTCATCTTCAGGATCTGCAGATGACACATCTTTTAACACCTTTGCAAGCGTTGTTATATTGGTATTGTTCAATGGATCTAATTCGTTCCAGGTGGAATTTTGGAACTCAACTTTTGACAAGATTTCCACTCTTGAGCATCTCGGCAGTGCCAGGAACAATGCCAGGCCCTCTGTTGTCAGTGATAGCTTGTTTGAATCGATTTTGGTGAAAATATAGACAATGAATTCCTCGGATCTTATGACTCTTAGGATGTTGAACACGGTGAATAAACACGGTTCTCTGATCCAAGACTTTGTGCATGACAGATCGATCAAGTTATCGATAAACAGTTTGAAGTCCTCCAATGACAACTTCTCCGACGTGAGAATTCCTGAGTTGTCGTTTGAAATACACTGTAAACCAAACAGTTTCCCGAATAGCGAGGCACGTTCTTCGCGTCCATTCATCGAGCTGGAGATCTTGGTGTGTTCATTAATCAGCGATATCAACTCGTTCAAGGAGAGCAGCCCCTTTGAGTACCTAATGTTGATAATCTCGGTCAGTGCAGTGGAAAAGCCAATCCTTGCGGAGGCTCTTGAGGACGCCAATCCCTTAATGAGTCTCTTGATGGCGTACTCCCATTCGTCGACTTGATCCTCGCTATTCAAATCGTTGATCAGCTGAACCGCAGCTTTGATGCGCTCGTCCTCTCTGTCGCTCGCCAGGGCGTAGTAATAATCTCTCGAGACAACCATCACACCACACGAATGCAAACAAACAGTACACAAAAGGTGGACAATGGTAAAGGTAAACAAAGGCATTAGAAAAATTTCTTGATGGTCGAGGTGATGAGATGCTGCGCCAACCATGAAGCACAGGCATACACACCCGTGCACCCCAAAGCTGGAGAGCCCAATTCCGACCCCACCCACCCCCGGTGGCCTCGCCCATCCCGCGTAGGGTAACCCCATGCCAACCTGTCCCCATGCATACACGCACCAAAGCCCCACGCTTACCGCATACGGCATTCAACGCTTCCGACAAATCAGCTTTCGTCAATCCAGCGTGCCCGACCGGTAACCGAGGCAACACACGAACAAATCTCAACACCGGGGCAAGGCAAAAAAAACCACGGCCTCGGTGCACACACTGCGTGCGAATTTTTGTTCACCCTTTTTTCACTCTCCATTTAATACTTCTGTTGAAGGTATACTCTTGCTACAACCCAATTGGAACAAACCAACACCAAAGATGTCTACCTGGAGAAAAGCCGGATTCTCGTATGTGTGCCTGCTGGCTCAATTGCAACCACACGGGCAATTACTAACCGTACTGCTATAGGTTCAACAAGTACTTGCAAATCGCTGCTCAGACCACCAGAAACGCTCTCAAGCCAGAGTTGCAAACAAACCAGGTCCTTGCAAGGGGCAAATCTGAGGCAAAGGTGATCAAATACACCGATGGTGTCGCTGCGGAGCCAGTGCCATTGAAGAAATAAAAGTCTCTATCATAAAAATATTCCCTCCCTGTTCTCTGTGTCCAGTATATATGCTAAGACGGGGGGACGGGTGATTTGAACACAGCAAATACACACGCTCAACGACACAGGTTTCTCGACACGATATGGTTTCTCTTAGATATTCAAAAGACGAATCGCAACGTCTTGTTTATGGCTGAAAAGCATGATGTAGCTCTGCGCCGTAGTTGTGAGTAAAGCGATGGTGTATACCAACACCTTCGGATGTCTTCTCCGAGAACGCACATCAACATAGAAGCCAAAGTTTGGCCAAATTTAACCTGCTTGTCGACTAAATACCCCAACAGCAATACAAGAAACCATCGACGAGGGCCTCAAATGATCCACATGCTAAGGCCGTGCACCTCGCTGAAGGCCTCCTTGGGCATTCGAGCATCGCTGGCGTGTGTAAAGACCCCAGCATCGCGTATACTACGCCCACTATCAACGTATGCCAGCTATACGGGCCACGGTCATATACACAGTAAGCCACTGGGGCTGGCGTGCACGCCAGTGGCTAAACGGGTCCAGATGGTCAAGTGGAGGTGCTATTCGACGGGGAAGAGCGAGGAGGCGAAGCTCGTGGACAAGGCCAGTCAGCAACAGCCTGCCATCACAAGCCCACCGAGCTCAGTATGGGTAGATCTGCTGAAGCTGATCAAGCTGGCAAGGAGAGACTTCAAGCTGCTGATCTGTGCGCTGACGCTGCTGTTGATCTCGTGTATGGTGAACATGACGATGCCCAAGGCCTACGGCCTGGTGCTGGACGCTACAAAGAACCTGGTGGATGGGCAGCTGCCCGCGGTGGTATTCGGGTGGTCGCTCTATGAGTTCATCGGTGTGCTGGGATGCGTGCTGCTGGTTGGAATCGCTGCTGACTATGGCCGTATCATCATGCTGAGGGTTCTTGGTGAGAGGCTGGTGTCACGACTGAGATCCTCGGTGATTAAAAGGACCATGGGCCAGGATGCTGAGTTCTTTGACGTCCATAAGGTTGGTGACTTGATCTCAAGGCTGGGGTCAGATGCCTATGTCGTTTCACGGTCGATGACGCAAAACATATCAGATGGGTTTAAGCACGCGATCAACGGCACCGTGTCCACGGTGAGCATGTTCCTGATATCAACACAGCTGGCTTGTGCCGTGTTCATCTTCATGCCTGCAATACTGGTTGGAACGCTGATCTTTGGTACGAAAGTCCGCAAGATCTCTCGAGGAATCCAGGAGGCGACGGGAAACCTCACCAAGGTTGGTGAGGAACAGCTGAACGGCATCAAGACGATTCAGTCGTTCGTGGCGGAGGCGAAGGAACAGAGGAAGTATAACAATGCGATAAGAAGGGTGTTTGACCTGGGCTTGCGTGAGGCGAAGCTGAATGCCACGTTCTACTCCTCAACGTACTGTATATCAGATGCTACTTTCCTTATCATATTGGCCTATGGTGCTCAGTTGGTCTGCTCTGGCGCATTATCAGTGGGCGACTTGGCTGCCTTTATGCTGTACGTCAACCATTCTGGAAGCTCCATGTTTGGTTTAGCGTCGTTCTATTCAGAGCTGATGAAGGGAACAGGTGCAGCTTCAAGGCTGTTTGAGCTCGTTGACAGAACGCCAAAGATAAGTGCAACAAAGGGATTGCCGTTGACACACAGACCAACCGGTGAAATCGAATTCAAGAACGTTTGCTTTGCATACCCAACAAGACCAAAGCTGACAATCTTCAAGGATCTATGCTTCAAGATACCAAGTGGTTCGAACGTCTGTATCGTTGGGCCATCAGGGCGTGGTAAATCTACAATCACGTCACTCCTGCTTCGTTATTACAATCCCACATCGGGTGAAATCTTACTAGATGGCCATGACATTACCAAATATAACTCAAAGTCCTTGAGACGATACTTGGGTGTTGTCCAGCAAGAACCAATCCTGTTCTCGGGAACGATACGTGATAATATAACGTTTGGCTTGAAGGCTGTTAACGTTCCAGAGGAAGAAATCATTGAAGCTGCAATAAAGGCCAACTGCCACGATTTCATCTCAAAGTTCCCGGACGGTTACGATACAATAATCGGGCCTCGTGGTGCACTGTTATCAGGTGGTCAGAAGCAAAGAATATCCATTGCAAGGGCGCTCATAAAGAACCCAAGCGTGTTGATCCTTGATGAAGCAACTTCCGCACTCGACTCGAAGAGTGAGTATGCTATAAACCAAACGTTACAAAAGTTGATGCACGATGAACATATGACGTCGATCTCTATTGCCCACAGATTGAGTACGATAAGAAAAGCTGATATCGTTATTGTGTTGGGTTATGACGGTAAAGTTGCTGAGCAAGGTGATTTCCACACGTTGTACTCAAACAGAAACAGTGCTCTTTACAAGTTGTTGAACGAGGAGAAGGTTGAACAACACCCTCATGAACACGAATCAAAGCATCCGAAGAAGAAACACGACGACACTAAACAAGATGAACGTGATGACGAATATATGGATGAATTTATCAAAGATGAAATGATGAAAAAGAGTCCAGAGGATCTCTCCGCTAATTTGGAGCATATAAAGACGCCATCTTCACCAATTCAAAAGTGATATATGTATATATTAAGGCCAACTCGTCCGTTACATCTCAAGTCATAGTTATCGCTTTCAATCAATATTCATTGACAAAAAAAAACTAATAATCGTCATCTCCACTGTGGTCTTGACAGTTCATATCGCGTACCAAGAGAGCTTGAAGCCTTGGCCCTTGAATTGGAGTGTGAAGAGCGTGCACCCATCCTTGAAGTACTGTTATACTCAATAATTTCCCTTATTGGCGTTGGTTGTGGAATTAATGACTTTCTTGAACTTCTAATAGGAGTCTGAGGAATCACAGAGTTTCTGAACGAGCTCTTTGTTTGCTGATCCAGTCCAAAACTATCAGAAGTCCGTGTATGGGACATCGATGTCTGTGCTCTTTGACCCAATCTTGAACCAACTCTTTGGAAACTGCCCTCAATAGATTTAACCCCTGATGGATTTGAGCCTCTCACGGTGCTGATACTTGAGACCGGCCTTGGAATTCGAGATTGATAAAACACATTATTTGCAGGTAGTGGTATCTTGGACTTTTCCATCACAGTTGGCTTTTCGATGGTTTGGGGCTTTTGAGCTGGGATTCCTCTGCGAATTGGGGTCTCTAGTTCAAATTGGTCCGGAGGGGAATCATGGCCCATTAGTTTTTCCAGTGTTTTGCTATGGCTATCTTTCAATCTTGGTGTGTTATCATTAATCGGTGATAATCGTTCAAATGGTCCGTGACGACGAATGGAAGGGGATTGTGCATCCAGAGTATCTGAAATAAAATCATCTGGTGACAACCTTGGGATATTTTGCTTCAAATCTGGAATACCAGTAGACACTTTGGCTTCAATTTGATTAACCTTTGCACTGTTTGATAGCACTTTGTTAGCATCTTCTGGCTTCTTTGCAGATGTTGGATCTCCCTCGATCATCACGGCTTGGATGTTCATCTTGTCAAAGAGAAATTGACCATAAACACTACGTCTTTTTTCCTTTTTCGTCTTCTCATGATCTGAAGTGATCCTCTTGTCATTGGTGTCAGATGTCTTTCTCGAATCTAACGATAACTTTTTAAAATTGTTGGTCATTTCGTCACTGTCAGTGTTATTCATTCCGTCTTCGGTCTCCATCTTATCCAAATAATCCTGTGGTATTTTAATCTTCAATTCAAGCCATTGCTCTGCAAGCTCATTGCATCTCTCCATTGTTCTGATGTCTATCAACTCTTCGTCGATGGCTCTGTTTATTAAGACGAATGTATTCTCCACAATATCAACAGTATACTTTAGCCTTTTGTAAACTTGTGGCTTGAAAACAGAGTTCTCCTCTAGATTCTCAGACTTGGAGATTTCTCTTTCAACATTCGTCATTAAAAAGGATAGCTCTGTGTTTAAATAACTGAAAATTTCGCTCCACCTCTTATCTATCAGCTCGTATTTCAGATCGTTTACTTCATTCTGTAAGAATTGCATATCTTTCATCAACGAATGGTATTTCTCCTCTATGCTCTTCGTGTCAGCTGCATCTCCGTATTTCGACTTGAAATCTTCGATTCTCATCGGTATAAAGTTCAAGCTGGCCCTTAGAGGGTCCACAATGGTCTTCAACTCCAAGTACTCTTCGTAAAGCTCATTATCAATTTCGTTCAGCAGTGGCAATTTCAACTGTGTTCTGCTTTGAAGAAGTTTCCTCGTGAGAAGTTCCAAGTTGAAACTTGGTGCATGGCGTACTGGCGAACTAAATCTCTTCTCGTGAATCTTGAAGCATTTCTTGAGACAGTACTCCAACTCCGTGTTTATCGAATTCATCATCAGTGTATAGATATCGTTGTACTCGACACTAACATCGATTCGAGACTTCAACCGTACGATGTACCCACCTTTCACTCGCAAACTGCACTCGCTAAGGGTATCCAACTTGTCAAATACCCGCGTGTCACCACCGCCAATGTCTTCTTGTTTCAGATTCGTCTCCAGCAGGTTTAGAGCCTGGAGAATAACGGAGTCTATGGAGTCCACGTTCCTATAGACCTCATAGAACTTGTCCTTACCCTCAATAAGCCAATCAATAGTCATCTGAGCGTCCAATACCGCCAGTCTATCCATGGCAACGGCCAACAGCTGTGTATAGCTCAGCATCTCATCAATCACATTCTCCAGCGCACGAAGGCTGAACGGCTCCAGGTGCGCTACAGCAGTAACGAAATGGAACTTCCTCCCTGTTGTGAGCAGCTCGGATAGTCTCTTGTCTATTGTTTCTTTCATTTGGAAATGTCGCACGCCGTCAAAGAGTCCCTATGGTTTGTTTTGATGTGAGCGCTACGCTTTGTTTACATTTGTTTGTTTGTTTACATTTTGGGATTCCCTCTCTATTTTTCTTTTGGTTAAGGACACGCACATCGTATTCTTGATTACGTCATCACATTGTCTATTCTGCTTATGTAATAAATAAAGAGGGTAATGCACTTGGGTAGGGTAACTCGGTTTGTTCTCACAGATTGAGCATCCATATATATGTACAAGAGGACGTGATACAGGGTGGAGTGGTTCATTTCTTCCCGCTTTTGTAGTCAATGTTATCCTCACCGAATAGCTGTGTGAGTATACTGTTCTTGTCTTTGTCCTTGATCTCCTCCTCAGAGAAAGGCCGAATACTCCCATCCATCATGATCTCACCGACTTGAACCTTTTTCTGCTGGCCTTCAATCACTGCGTAGGATAACGGTTAGTATCTCTGGATGTGATTGGTGGGCTTGGGTACCATGCTTACATCTCTTATAAAGCTCTATAGATGTCACCACAAGTAATGGGATCCCTAGGAATATTAAACGGACACTTGCATGATGATTGTGTAGTTAGCAATCTGAAACTTCTCCGTTCACTGAGTGAATTTGAGCCCACACTTACGCTTTGCCCCTTTCCAATACCTCCTTTGGTAGGTTGGGATAGTACTTCTTGAAATCCGACTCCTTCATTGTCCCTTTGTATCTAGCGGACTTTTGTATGATTGCTTATGAAAAGATACTGTACTAATTCTGACAACTCCAAAGTGGAGGGAAATTCCGATGCACTGGATTTCAATTCCGAATATCATGCGTTATGAGCGCGTGTTTCTTGACGAACATGTTAGATCATTTTATCGCTTAGTTATCAATCACATTATCTCAAAGGCTGGTCAGATGAGCTGACTTTGGTGTGACGTGTTATTTGAATAAAGACACACTGTCCAAAAGCATATATTTAGTGGGAAAAACTGGCATTAATAATCCCAATATACGAAGCAATTAGCTATATACAGTGTATAGTAAACCGGTTTCCAATAAACAATATTAGAATTACCATCACAGCCACGTCTGTTGAGAGCTTCCAAAGAGCCTAAAGACTCATCTGATGTTGTAGTTTTGTTTCAAATTGCTTCATAAGGTTTTTTTTTTTTTGACTGTGAGCCTCTAAAATGTAAACACTCATGCAAGAACATTAAACCTACTTGAACCTTTGCCTCAACTCTACAGACTTTCGTGTGTAGTTAACAACATATATGGTCATAAATAATAATAACATGGGTTATAAATAGCTGTCTCAGTGGGCACCCTTTTCCAAATCAACGTTCTTCTGGTTGTTCGATGAAGAATTCCCGGAGTAATTGGAAACCTCCTCGACAAACTCCTGTTCGCTCTTAATGTTCATCTCTGTTATTTCACCATTTTGTTTGATGTGTGCAATGCCTGAATGGTCTGGACAAAGCTGGGCTCCTTTTCTTCCAATGAGATACCATGGAAGATTGAAAAGCTCCTCCATACTCTCCAAGGATCTACCGGCGATCTCTGGTAATAGGAACCATGCCCAGAAAAGGCCAATGACAAGAATAGCACTTGCAAAGAAGAACGTTCCAGCTGGTGTCAAATAGATCAACATGGAAGGTAAGGCCTTTGTGTTGCCGTATTGGTTTGCAAAATGGAAAATCATGATCAATGCGGTACCAATGTGACGGACGTGTATTGGAAGCATTTCAGAGTTAATGAGATATTGGATTGAATTCCAACCAAGGGTCCACCCGACACCAGTGATGAACAATGAGGCCAAAGCTGCAACACCTGCTCTTGATTGAGAATCTGTTAATTGAATATTGTTTTCTGTAGCTTGTGGAACGATTTGTAAATATATAGCAAAATACAAAGTTGCTATCAATTGAATGGTGATACCCATAAGCAATGCCTTCTTACGACCCAAGATATCGATGACAAAGAACGCACCAATATATGCGGAGCTGAACTTCACAACACCGAGAATGGCTGAATAGAGAACTCTTCTTGTTCCCGTAACTCCCACAAGTGAAACAAGCTCAGTCATATAAACGGTGATACTTCCAGCAAATGACCATTGTCCAAGAATCTGTGCAGACAATGCGAGAAGGATACGATAACGTAAGGATTTGATCGTAAAGAGTTCCTTAAATGCACCGAATTTGGTCATTTTCCCGTGCTCCAGGATTTCAACAGAGATTTGCTCTTGGATATCACTCAACTCTGAAAGTACATATGGATGGTCAGTGGGCAAGTTTCTAATCTTCGAAAGGGCAATGCTAGTCTTTTCCTCCTGGCCCTTTTTAGCAAGCCATCTTGGGGATTCAAAGCAGAATAAAGAGCCAATAAACAAAAGACCAGCGACAACAATCTTTATTGCTGTTGGAATAATCCACTGCTTTTGTGAATTGGTGTCAATGTGAAGTGAACAACCGTAGTTGATGAAATTGGACATGAATGAGCCAAAGTAAACTGCACCTGCAAAGATACAGTTTGCCAAACCACGGATGTTTTTTGGAGCAATCTCAGACAAATAACAAGGGCCAATAACCACAGTTTGGCCAATAGCAAGTCCCTCTATGAGTCTACCAGCGTAGAGCTGGCCCAAATCAGTCGAGGTGATTTCAATGATGACAGCAACAATCCACAAGATTAGAGAACCTTGTAATGTTCTGACACGACCAAATCTATCGATGAAGTACATGGCGAAAAGGGAACCACCGATGGAGCCTAGAATGACCATGGAGGTAATGTTGGATTCCACATTAGCCTCATAAGATTCTGACCACGATGGATTATCGAGCCCAAAGGTGTCGATGAATGGTTGTTTGGAAACAACACCACCGATGTAGCCTTCATCGTAACCACGTCCACACCCAAGAATACCAAAGACAAAGATGGCAAAGTAAAGAGTCTTGTTGAAAATCTCTGAGGGTACTCCTTCTGTGCTATAGAATTTTGCAAAGAACTGCTTGATAGATTGCATATGAATTTAAGATTGCTTATAGAACAATTATATAGAACCATCTTGACGAGGTGTTAAAGTATTCTTTATATAGATGGGTAATTCACCAATGGCTCATTGGATCCCTGACACCTTGACTGACTTCAAGGGTATTGGAAATGTGGAGAACTCATGATCTCTCGCTACACCTGTATAAAATGTGTTCGCTGTGGTACACTCTTACAGTTTTATGTATAGTTGTAAAGGTTCGTAATTTATGACAAACTCGAGGTCTTAGCACCGTTAACAAAGGGATATTTCTGGGCCTTAAAGCTTGGTTAATGGGAAGATATTGATAATGTCTTGTCGTTTCTAGCTTTACAGAGTTTAGGTACTGTCTTGTCCTTGTCATTCTTGTCCATTAATGCTGAATATTCGAGCCTATTCTTTGCATATGTAGCCTGATACTCAATCATTGGGGTAATTTCTTTTGTTTGACGTCTGACGTTCGTACAGTTGAATCCTGGGAGAGGGGGAGTCCATTACGTCAACTGAGTATGAATGTATTTCATCGACTTAGTGAGGTTCACTATGAGTGAAATGTGTAGGTTGTCCTTGCGCGTTTACAGTGCGAAGAATGGAGCTTGGCCTCCACCACGTTTGAGGTCAATGTAGGCTAATTGTACTGTTTTAGGAAGCCCATCTATTTGTAACATCACGATTCACAAGAGGGGTTAAGAACTACTTGAGCTCGTTCTATTGGTCGAAACTACATTTGGAATAAACAATCCTACAGTGCTTCATTCGGATAATACCGGGCTCCATTTAGGCCTGTTATGATTACACAACCCAGATTTCAAAATAATGGTTTATATACACGTAGATGAGACACTACCAGGTAGTGTGATGCACATATTAAACTAAGGGTCAGAACAAAAAGCTGATAAATAATTGCTGGCAAGGATACCTGGAGGTGAGTCCATGACTCTCAACAGATTCCAATGATTTCTCCTAGTAGATTTTTGACTTGGTCATCAGAGAGATCACGAGTATTAGGAGTCTTGCCAATGCCATAGAAGTCTGCCAGCTTCTTCAGCTGTTCTGGGGCTTTTGAATTGAAGTCAGATTTGTTCTTTGGCCATATATCATCTCCAGGTTTCTCTCCATTAATGTTGGTGATTAAGGATAGCGATTCATCGCTCATATCTTCCAAGTTATCCTCAGACGTTTGGAACTTGGCCTCGATAGACGCAACCAAGTCTTCAACTTCCTCTTCGATATCCCAATCGAAAGAGTCCAAATCCTCCTGCGTCTGTGGGTTCATTGCTTCCAAGTCCTTAGCCCATGGCTCGAGCTTTGGGAAAGCTAAGTCAAGCATGATGTTGGCATATTTGGTATCTGCACATTCACGGTATCTCATTCGGCTGTAGATGTACTTCAGCACTGTATCGTGGTACTTGTTGATTCCCTCCATTGTCAAA